CACCCATTTTTCCCTTTAATTGTTTGCTTTCTTTTTTCTCCTGCAATGGGATGTTAAACAATGAATCCTAAGTTTTGTGATTTTAATGTTTCTACAAAATTTTCAAATAATAGGCATGCAATCCACACTTACTTTGTAAGAATTCTGCTGCTAACACTATGTCTTCAGGTTCAGACAGCTGCTTCCTATGTTACTGGACTCTTCATCAGCATGGTGCCCCATGTCAAATGCGTAGGACATGAATTTAAGGGTTATACCCGAACAGAAGTCCATGTAACATAGGCTGCATCCTGTCATAAATAAATAACATTCTCTGAAGCAGACTATTTGGTAAACCTCTTAGTTTATGGTAAGGTATCACCTAATTGCAATAGCGCAATGCCCTTTGTTACGCTTGCTTTCATTTTCTGGCTCTTTTGTTTCATAACATACATTTTAATGTTGAATTTTCTTGAATGATGCTTCCCTGACTTGTTTTTCAGTATAAATGTTCCTTTCCCCTTTCACTGATCTTCAGCTTAAGTGAAGTTTCATATATTTTATTTTCTTTGTGAAAATTCCGATAACCCTGCGTTTATCATTTGGCTTTCTTCTTTAGGCTTCTCGATGATACTCCCACTCTTTTCAGCTGCCGGGCTCTTGCCCAGACTTACATCCATTTTCCTTGGCTTTGCACCTCCCTTCCTGCTTCTATCGATCGGGTATTCCATCATTTTTGGCATGGGCTAGGAGTACACTAGATTTTTATACCATATATGAGTCAGAGTTTGAATGAAGCTTCTGAATAACCTGCAGATATGAGGCTCTCTTCTATGGCGCACTCAGTCTTGCACTTATAGCATGGATACTGGTGGAAAATGCTTATCTCCATATAAGCAAGTTCAGATTATCATCAGCTCAAGTCAAATCCATGGAGGGTAACTTTAACCTTGCACATGATAATAGGTGCCTGGAGTTATCTGATATGAGGATCCCATTAGCCTTTGTAAGTTTTACGTTACTTGCAGAAAAAAAAAAATAGCGACATCATTTATAGTTTAAGATCTTGAGGTAAGGCATAGGGTTTTCCTTTGCACATTTCCAATTAGTTATATCGGATCTTCCTTGGATACTGTACATCTTCCTTTCTTCCTTGTTGGCATCATTTCCTTATGTTTTCAGTGCGATGTATTGATAATTAATCACCATCACATACTAAGTAGCACAGATAATTCTGCAGCCAGGAACAACTGGAGAGGCTTCACAATTCATTGTTTTTTAGTTTCAACTTCACAATTTCAAATTTAGCATTGTGTTTGCTCGCCTAAAAGCATGTCTACCTTCTCTGGAAGTTGAACTCTTGAAATTACTTGCATCCAACGTAATGTAACTCAAAAAGTTAAAATGACACATTCAAATCACTTGGTTCACTTTGCTATGCATAGAGAAGGAAAGCTTTGTATAGAAGATTGGGTGTCTTTTGTACTGACTCATATCTTTCTGTAGATTCTGTACTTTTTTGGTACACCTCTTGTAAACAGGAGTTTACCCATGATTAATAAAATTATACTTTACTTGATCAAGAAGAAATGAAATCTTAAAATACGGTGCATAGGGACAGCACTGTTTTTTTTTTGGAGGGTAGGGGGTGGGGGTAACCTTTTTCCTCTCCCGAACATGTTAGGGCGAACCCCTGAAACAAAATGATAAGATACCAACTTAAAGTAATTAGTCAATGAGGTTATTGTGAACATTGATAGCATATCAATTAATCTTCCTACATGTTACTATCTCAAAAAAAAAAAAATCAAGTAATCTTCCTCTATACATATCCAAAAAGGAATAGTCCTCCCTCTACATTATACTGCCTTTTATGTAAATTACTTTTGTCACTGGTCTTAAGATTTGTGAAAATTTTAGTTCTGAAGTGGTTCTGACCAGGCCCAAATTGAAGGGACCAAAAATGGAAAATAATAACACTTCCCTTAAGAAAGTCAAATCCTGGGGAGGAAGTTGGACCAGAGTGAATTGGTCATTCGCAATTGTGCGCTTCTGATGCAATTTCTGCTTTTTTAGATGGTCTTTTTCAACATTGCATTCTTTGGAACTGGTAATTTTGCAAGTATTGCAAGCTTTGAGATCTCCTCCGTGTATCGGTTCATCACTATTTTCAGTGTAAGTGAAATTGAACATCTTGTTTACAAAACCTTTTCCTTTATTTTCCTTTCATTTGTATATGGTGTTATATGAGATTTTTCTTTTGCAGCCTTTTCTGATGGCAGCGTTGCTTATTTTCAAGTTATTAATACCATTCATACTTGTCATGTAAGTAAAACTTGCATATTTTCCTCATTAATGATTCTGAACGAAAAACCACTGTACTTATCATCACCCTTGTGGAGAATCATTAGCAAACTGGGAAAATATTTTCATGGCTGATTTCATATTGGCTTCAAAACTCAATATTGGAGACCAAGAAAATCACTATTAATATGAAAGTAGGAGCATTTTGGAGTTTCTTGGTCTTTGCTGAGACAAGTGGTGCACTATGGATAACTTTTATTTGTTGGTGGGGCTAACTGCAGATGTGTGTTTAGTGCAATCACTAAATTGGTGCAAATTCCATTGTTGGGATGCTATTTTCTGGTCATATTGTGCTCAGATGTAATGACAATCCATTTCTTCTTCCTGGTACGTAGTCGTCTTATTCTTCATCTGGTGCAATTCTCTTATGTTTTTTCACCTGTAGTTCCATCCAATATGTTTTTCTGGGAAAACTCAGGAGTCCAAGTACCAATCTGTTCTTATTCTGTATTAATCTCTATCGGGCTTTTTGAGTTATCTCTTTCAGGCGTTCTGACTGCATTTTCTCCAGAAATATGATTCTGGGGATTCTTCATCATTAGGATCCATCTATTTGACTCCTGTTACTTGTTTTCTTTCTGATTGATAACAGGTCCGAAATAAAGGAAGCTGGATGGAAATTGGCAACAGCATTAGCCATTTCGGGATTATGAGTGCTCAAGTTGTGTTTGTCCTCATGTTATTTGCTGGTACAAATGTATTCACGAAAGACATCCTAGTTAGATCAGCTCAGCAGTTTTCTCGTAAAAAATTGTGATTCATTTGATGCTTCATTCTTTTCAACGTCTTTCTAGGTGGCAGTTTTGCTAGAGTAGCAATTAGTTCACACGAATCTTTATATTTGGCTAGCTAAGCAAATCATTCTTTCCGATGTCCCATATTTCTAGGCAACAAGCTTATGGTTCTTTCCAAAGCAGAGTGGCATAGTTGTTTCGAATGAATGATGATGAGATGATTAATTCCACTTGCACTTGAAGTAGTGGTAGCTGACTAGCTGCCTGCTTTGTTGGATTAAAATTGGCTCTTTGTTTTTTAATGGTTTCCCACCCGATAACCGCATTGTGGCCCGACTAAATTCGGATTTGTGCCGGAAAGTCCCACATTGGGGCAAAGTGCCCCCTAACAAAGGCGACTCCATATTCAGGGATCAAACCCGAGACCTCTGGTTAATGATGAAGGAGTACTTATCCCTCCGGCCTCCACCATAACTCTTGTTGGTTAAATAGGCTCTTTGTTACTTTTGGTTTGGAGAATGAAATCATTCCGGAACAGCAGAAAAAAAAAAATAGAAATGTCAAAGAAATAAAGAAGTTTGCATTTATTCTAGTGTTACAATCGTACAAAGAAGTATGGTAAATACTAAATACTTATCCACACCGGGTGTTTATACCAAACTATATTAATTCACTATGGTTAATTAATTTAATTAGATGAGAATGCATATAATTTACCCTGATTAAATGATTGAAGTCCATATGCAAGACACATGTCATGTATCTATCGATTTGGTGTAAACACCCGATGCGGATAAGTTTTTACCAAGAAGTATACCCCCCATAATCCGTTTGTTGAACACACAGAACTAGCTCATGGTCAATTCAAGTTTTATTGAGAGATTTACCCAGAATACAACCCATTAAATACTTATTTAAATAAGTTACAATTAATTTTAAAAAATTACATATCATACAACTTATTTTAAAACATACACTATTTATATTCCTAATATCTCTCTCTTGAGATTCTCTTACCTAAAATGTATCCTTATATATCTCTCCTGAGATTCTCACCCAACTACATATATGCTCCTTTTTCTTTTTCAAAATTTTTCGTGTTCTCTCTCTTCTAGTTGTGTATATGATTATAGTATATTTGATATACCATTACTATATGTCAAAACCTATATTGCATATTTCAAATAAATATAATATATTAATATACTCAAATACAGAAATATTATACCAGTATGCTAATATCTTATTAATCAATGATATATCAATTATTATATATTTAGTATCGATGAATATATCTTTCATATATATTTTTAACATATATGCAGTATACCATATACATATACTTAATTTTTAAACTTTCCTAGTAAGTCTATATAAGTAATATATTTTACATATATACAGTATACTATATACATGTGCTGCTCAAGTAGATCAAATGGTATATTAACTACTTATTTACTAGAGTACATACAAAAATGGAATAAGTCGATTAAGCTTTTGGTCTGTAGCAGTTTATTAATATTCTGTATAACCCAAATGCTATTTTTTTTTCTTTTACCCTACAAAAAAGTATATGATAAATTATGTTGCCGTTTTTCTTTTTACTCCCAATAGAATAGAATCATAGATCTAATTTTGTTGGGAAAAAATATCACAAGATAAAGAAGGAATCTGAAAGAACGAAAACATATCAAAATGGAGTACCTATCGTTGCCAAGGAAGGATGATTGGTTCATAATCACCATTTAACAAAATGGAGGATTTTTAGGGATAAATTAAATATGATTCATAGTCAATTTCCTTATTTACCGGGAAGGTAGCACACTTGAAAAATATCTTCTTTATTTATGGTTATGTTGTAGAATATGTTATTGATTATGAAATATATTATGATTTCCTATGTAATTATGAAAATTCGGCTAGACACTATATTTTGAACCGAAAAAATAAAAAACAGAAACAAATTCCTTAAACCCTCAAGAACAAGACCACAGAATAACAAAACCCTCCAAATCAAACCTGAAACTCAAAAATCAACAAAAAAAATCAAAACTGGTGAAAGATCCTCAAAACCCCTCTTAATCGTCCATTATTATGGCACCTCTATCGTTCTCTTCACGAAATCTATTCTCCCTCTTCTACAAACCCAGAGGTTATTTTTCTCTCTTTAGCTCTGTAAACAATTTTTTCCATTCTTTTCTATTAATTTTCTTTTTATAATTAGAATTTCTTCAAGATTTTCTGAAACTTACATAATTTTATCTTCAGTGATTCCTTTTAAATTTTTGGGTCAGCATTCTTCAGCTTTGTTCTCTACTCACATTGTTGGGGACACACCAATTCTTGTAATTTCTCTAATTCTCTTTATTACTTTTGTTGTTTATAATATATATGTGCATTTGGTATGCTGGAAAATATTTGTTTTTTGGAAAATGGCTTCATTACTCTTACTATATTTGTAAAAGAAAATAACTCTGCTAATAAGTGAAAATGTTCATATTTGTAAAAGGAAATGACCTTATTTTGGAGAAAAACACATTTTCAGTGTTCAAGTTAACAAACAGTGGAAAATTATTTCGTCGAGGAATTAAACAACAAAAACAGCAACTATGCCTCAGTCCCAAACAAATTGGGTCGGCTATATAAATCCTCACTTCTTTCTGATTTCGCGAACGAATTATTTAAAGAAAACATTTTTTCTGGCATACCAAACACACCCTTTAGTTTTATTTATTTATTTATTTATTGGCTTATGTTCATTTCTTGGTGATTTGAAGGTTAGGGATTTTATTCACAAGGCATTGTATGATCCAAATGTAGGGTATTTCTCCCAGAAATCGGCATCAGTTGGAGTGCTTGATAGAAGCATTAAGTTCAATCAGCTCCAAGGTAATTGGTGTTTCTTTTACTTTACTATTTTTTCATCTATTTGTGAATTCATTGGGATTTATTGAGTAGTAATTCTATGTAAGTTCTTAGTAATGCAAGGCAGATGCTAGATGACTGCCTAATATGAAGTGCAGTCAATCAATAACTACACCTTAATCCTAAATTAGTTGGAGTCAGTTATATAAATTCTATGCATCCATTTTGCCCTATTCAAGTGCAACAACAACAACAACAACAACAACCCAGTAAAATCTCATAAGTGGGGTATGGGGAGGGTACTGTGTACATAAAACTTACCCCTACCTCGGAGGGGAAGAGAAGGTTGTTTCTGATAGATCCTCGGCTCATGAAAACGAAAAGAGACAATAGATCAGTAACAACAACAGAAACCAGAAAGATAATACCAGCATCGTAAGAGCCAGAAAATAGATGGGAAAGCAATAGCAATAACTAGTAATAATGGCACGATATTATGAAAACGGAAAAATAGTACGAACACAACATTAATCATTAGCAGTCTAAGACAAAACACTATCAGACTAGCACGAAACTATTCAAGTGCAATGAAGAGAATTTGTCATAGTTTAATTATTTTCTGCACTTTGTCATCCTAGAATACTCCTCCTTTATCCGAGCTTGTACTAGATATGGATGCATCGTCTCAGGCTTTTACTGTTATAGCAGTCTATACTTTCTTTGTCTAGCTGAAAAAACATTTCATCATACTTGTGTGCAAACTGAAAATAAGGAAGCAGGAGATATGAAATATTATGATGCACCCAAGGGTGTTGTTTAGTCATCAATGAAGTGGGTTGAGAACTTGAGGTCTCAGGTTCAAATCCCAGCGGAGGCGAAAATACTAGGTGTTTTCTTCTTATTGTTGAAGCTTTGGTGGACGGAGTTACCTGGTACCTGTTGTTGGGAAGGTAGCAGGTATCTCATTTAATTAATCGAGATGCGTGTAAGCTGACCCCGACCCATGGTTATAAGAAAAAAAGATATGAAATATGATACTTTCAGTGGCATGATTGTAGAATAAAAAAAAAGTTGTCCTTAGAAGATGGAAAATATGATTTTTGAATATTTTAGGTAGGAAAGCATACATGAAGCATTTGGATAAGATTTACAAGCAGAGTGATGTTTCATGGTTTACTCCAGTGGAGCTTTTTAAGGTAATATACTTTCTTTTGTCCTTCTAAATGTAATTGCTTACCATATGTGAGAAAATTATGTAGACTATTTCTTAGGATATTCTTGGAATAATTACTTATAATGATGTATGATGACGTCCAATCCTATACCTCTTAATGAAGCGTAGCACGGTCGTTAGCAATAATAAACCCAACAAAGGTTGGGGTCGAATCCCACAAGGAGTAGGTGTGTGTTAGAGTGTCCAAATGCGTGCAAACTCGATGATTCTTAATGCAATCTCCAAACAAAAAGTGGTTGTTCAATTATATCTAAAGTTACTTCTAAAATTGCTATGTAAACTAGTCTAGGAATTTTATCGAACACTAAGAATGCAAGTAAATATATAGTTGTAACAAATAAGAGAAAGGCGCTAGGATTGTTTCCCCTTCGTGTAGGCTATGTTTTTGTGTATACAAATGTTCAATTCTAGTTAATTAAGCATGTGTTATGGCCTCAATTTCTATTCCACCAACTTAATGTCTTCCAACACTTAAGAGGTTTTTTGCCCCAAGTTACTCTTCCAAGTCAACTAAGGCTCAATGATGAACAATTGATTAGCCCAAGTAGGATTCACACTATTCCTAGTTAGATTTCATTAATCAAGTGATTAACCCACTTAATTCCTTGCTAATTACCTTGTACCTAAGCTAAGTTCCACTCTTCCAAGTTAGAACAAGCAAAATAGGCATGGATTTAGTGTTTGCAACCACAAAATCAATCAATAAAGCATGGAGTAATTAGAGAACACAAAGCTTAATCAAATATAGAACTAATATTAATAACCCAAAAACATAACCACACTTAGGGTTCACAATCCTAGCTTAACAAACTTAGCCAGACATATTTTGAGAAGGAAAATACAAAAAGAGATGAAAATCTAAACATAATAGCTAAAGAGGAAAGAAAGATTGTGTAGAACAATGGTGAAGTCACCCAAATTCCTCAAGAAGAATCCCAAAAGCTCCTACACAAAGTCTCCTTGCCAAAAAGATGCCCTAGAATGACTTAAAATAGCTATATATACTAAGTCCCAAAAGTGGACAAAATTGCCCTGTTGGGCCAACCGTGAGGTAAGCCGTGAGATGCAGCTGAACCGTAACGAATTCTAGAAACTTCATTTCTTCAACTCTTCAGGCTTCTCTTGAACCGTGTCCAACGGTTAGAGCAACCGTGCCAACGGTTGGAGCAACCGTGTCCAACGGTCTGCCTAAGTCTTTTTCAACTTTTCTCCAATTTTAGCTCTAAAGTGATGACTTCTTGCCCATTTTTGATATTCTCCAATTCCAAAGTTCTCACACAACTTCAAAACCTGAAAATACACCATTCAAAGCACAATAATCCAATTTATTCCAACAAATGGAGCATTAAACTCTATCAAAACATAAGAACAATTAGCTAAAAAGCTAACGAATCAATGTAAGCAAAGAATAGTTACTTACCTTATTACATAGACCTAGACTCCAATGTGAGGAGCCACTCTGTATATTGCCAACAACCGAAGAGTTTTTCTCTCTTTCTTCTTGTTTCACTGTTAAGCAAGTTATGGACTTAAACTCTCTTGTCATGCGTTCATTTGTTATGTTCCCCAGAGAACTTTATTTTTATTTTGTAGGCACTTTTAGTTCAAGTAACCAGAAGTCAGAACATTCATCAATATGGGTTTTTTTTCATTGCCTTTTTATTAGTTTCTATTCTGTATTCCAATTTACTTGTTAGATGCAATCATGTTATATGGAATTCTCTGCAGCCTTGGTATGCTCATGGGATCGCTGAAGCCATTTTGCGTACTACAAACCTATCTGTTCCACTGAAAGTAAGTTCGTTAATGTCTAGAGAATGTAGCTTCTTAGCTGCATACAATCTGTTATTGTCCATTGGAACTTATTAATAGTGATTTTCTCTGTTTTTCTTCTTAAAGTTTGACTTAGTTGATGATTCATTCACTTGCTTTACATTTTGGCTGTCTTTTGGATGTAGATATATGAGATAGGTGGTGGATCAGGAACCTGTGCGAAAGGCATCCTGGATTACATAAAGCTAAATGCACCGACAAGAGTTTATGATAATATCAGTTACATGTATGTGATAATAATGCTCGTAGTGCTTTACCTAATTGAGAATGCCGCACATGATGAACTTGTTTGCATGGCCATAGAGCTACAGAGTAAAGCATTTGTGCAAATTAGTTATGAAATAGAGGAACAATAATTTTATTGAGGTACCTTAGCTAATTGATAATGTTTCATATTTGAAGTAAAAGTGCTTATAAAATCTTGCACTACTCCATTAACGGTTTTAAGGTTTCGTTGAATGCTCAGATTCTTTCACATGGTGTTAGAGCAGACCTTTAGCAAGCACTTCTACACGTAATTCTAAAATTCAACATTACTTATTAGATTTACTAGGTTTTTTGAAGTAATTATTGCCATTAAAAAAATCCGCATTGAAGTTTGCGGATGAATTTTAGAATTGAATTAACACATGCGGGAAGGTGTTGATTATATGATGTCCCACATCGTATAAAAGGGAAATTGAAGGGGTATAATGATCTTTGTACCACTCCACCTGTTGGCCTTAAGGTGGGGTAGATGCCATATTTTCTCAAAGTTCTCTAGACTCTGGGGAACTTAGGGAAAAAGTAGCTCATTGATCTCCGCTTTAATTGTCTAATGCAAGATTTTTTTCTAGACTAGATACATGCATTATTTTCCTGGGCATTTAGTGTCATGCTTTTCTATTTTTTTTTTTTTGACAAAGTAATAAAATATTATTAATGGTCATTTTTTCTATTCTTTTCATGAGTACGATTTTACTCCCTCTTTCTTCAAAGACACTTTTTTTTAATTAAATGGTATTGTGCTTTTTTAAATCTAATCTCTATGCCATATTTTGTTATTAAAAGTATGCAATGCTGTGTTCTAACTACTTGGAAGGTCTAAAAAATATGACTTAGAAGTGTAACTCCTTAGATTTTGAGAAGATGATAGCAAGTCCAAGCTTGGGCGATATCAGTTCATGCCTTTTGTAAAACATATTACAGTCAACTTTAGAGTTAAGCAAGAAATGGCACCCAAGGGTGTAGCCTAATGGTACTGGTCAATAAAGTGGGTTGGAGAACCGTGAGGTCTTAGGTTCAAATCACAATGGAGACAAAAACGCTAGGTTATTTCGTCCCATCTGTCTAAGCCTTGGTAGACAGAGTTATCCGGTACTTGTGTAGGTGATAGGTAGCAGGTACCTAGTAAAGTTAAGGGTGTCTAACGGGCCAGGTTTAACCGTAACCGGCCCGGCCCAGACCGGTTAAAACCAGAACCGGCCCGGACCGGTACAAAGGGGGGCGGGTGGGCTGGGTTAACAGGGTAAGGAGGTTGGTCCGTTTACATTGGGGCAACCGGTTAACCGGACCGGTCAAACCCGGTCAACGGTTTTTACTGTACAACCGGTTAACCGGCCTGGACCGGACCGACCCAGACCGGTATAACGACTACTAATTTTTTT